CAAGGGCCCAAAGTCCATCAAATGGGGAAAAGACAGTCTTTTTAACAAATGGTGCTGGCAAAACTGGATATCCATCTGCAAAAAAATGAAACAAGACCCATACCTCACACCATATACAAAAACTAATTCAAAATGAATCAGAGACCTTAATATAAAGCCAAAAACTATAAAGTTCATAGAAGAAAAAATAGGATCAACACTAGAGACCGTAATACACGGCATTAACAGGATACAAACCATAACCAACAACACACAAATTCCAGAAGATAAGTTAGATAACTGGGATCTTTTAAAAATCAAACACTTAAACTCTTCAAAAGACTTCACCAAAAGAGTAAACAGAATCTACAGACTGGGAAAAAATTTTGGACATTACAGGTCAGACAAAGGTCTAATCTGTGTAATCTACAAGAAAATCCAACACTTCTGCAACAAAAAGATAAATAATCCAATTAAAAAATGGGTAAAGGAAATGAACATACACTTCACCAAAGAAGACGTTCAAGCGCCCAACAGACACATGAGGAAGTGCTTGCAATCACTAGCCATTAGAGAAATGCAAATTAAAACCACAATGAGATACCATCTCACCCCAGAATTACTGGCATGAATCAAAAACACTGGAAATAATAAACGTTGGAGAGGCTGCAGGGAGATCAGAACTCTATTGACTGTTTGTGGGAATGTAAAATGATACAACCATTTTGGAAAATGATATGGTGCTTCTTTAGAAAGCTAGAAATAGAAATACCATACAATCCAGCAATCCCACTCCTAGGAATATATCCCAGAGAAATAAGAGCCATCACACGAATAGATATATGCACACTTATATTCATGGCAGCATTGTTCACAATAGCAAAAAGATGGAAACAACCTAGATGCCCATCAACAGATGAATGGATAAACAAACTATGGTACCTACACCCAATGGAGTATTACGCAATGATAAAGAACAATGATGAATCTGTGAAGCATCTCATAACATGGATGAAACTGGAGGACATTATGCTGAGTGAAATAGGTCAATCACCAAAGGACAAATATTGTATGAGACCTTTACTGTAAAAACCCAAGAAAAAGTTACACGCAAAAAGAAACAATCTTTGTTGGTTACAAGGGATGAGAGGGGGAATACTATATAGACAATAGATAAGTGGTAACTTTGGTGAAGGGTAAGACAGTACACAATACTGGGGAAGCCAGCACACCTTGTACAAGGAAAGATTATGGAAGCTCCATAGACACATCCAAACTCCCTGAGGGCAGAGGCCTGTGGGGACCATGGTCTCGAGGAACATCTAGCTCAATTGGCATAACATAGTTTGTAAAGAAAATGTTCTACATTCCACCTTGGTGAGTAGCGTCTGAGGTCTTAAAAGCCCGTGAGCAGCCATCTGAGATACTCCAATGGTCTCGTCCCTTCAGCAGCAAGGGAGAATGAAGAAAACAAGATACGAGGATAAGATTAGTCCAAAGGACTAATGGACCACAACTACCACGGCCTCCACCAGACTGAGTCCAGTACAACTAGATGGTGCCCGGCTACCACCACTGACTGCTCAGACCAGGATCACAACAGAGTTTCCCAGACAGAGCTGGAGAAAAATGTAGAACAAAATTCTAACTCACAAAAAAAGACCAGACTTATTGGCCTGACAGAGACTGGAGAAACCCCAAGAATATGGCCCCTGGACACTGTTTTAGCTTAGTAATGAAGTCACTCCCAAGGTTCACCATTCAGCCAAAGATTAGACAGCCCCATAAAACAAAACAAGACTAATGGGGCACAACAGTCCAGGGACAAGAACTAGAAGGCAGGAGGGGACAGGAAAGCTGGTAATAGGGAACCCAGGGTTGAGAAGGAACAGCGTTGACATGTGATGGGGTTGTTAACCATTGTCATAAAACGATATGTGTACTAACTGTTTAATGAGAAACTGTTCTGTAAGCCTTCATCTAAAGTACAATAAAAAAAATTTAAAAAAAGAAAATAAATTTTAGCTTACTCTGCTCTACTGAGTTTCCACTCCTCCATCTCGTTTCCATCTTGGAAAAATGTGTGAATTTCATTCTCTGTCTTGTGTTCTTTCTTGTCTATATGGCTTTAAGCCTGTTTTGTTCCTTTACTATCATTTTAATAGGTTTTCTTTAGGGAGCTGAGATTGATTCAATATATATTTATTGTCTACTGTGAACCAGGCCCTTCCTTAAGTACAGGCTTAAATACACACCATATAAGATAAGGAACTCATGCCTTATGTACCTTACAGTCTAGTGGAGGAAACAAGTAATAAAAAAGGAATAAATGACTAAAATATGCTGTCACTTAATGATAAATTCTATGAAGAAAAATTCAGGAAAAGTGGGTGAGACCAGTTTTAGGAAAGTGATCAGAGAAAATACCTTAGAAGAGGTGGCAGTTTGAGCAAAGATGAAAATTCGAGTTCATCTGTCGTGTTTAACTGAAACAATATTGTTATTGCTAACTCTTAGTCATCTAGTGCTTCTGTAACAGAAATACCACAAGTGGATGACTTTGACAAAGAGAAATCTATTCTCTGAGAGTCTAGTAGGCTAGAAGTCCAAATTCAGGGTGCCAGTTCCAGGGGAAGGCTTTCACTATCTCTTGGCTCTGGGGGAAGGTCCTTGTCATCAATCTTCATTTGGTCTAGGAGCTTCTTGGCTCAGGGACCTCAGGTCCAAAGTACTCACTCTGCTCCCGGCATTGCTTTCTTTGTGGTTTGAGGTCCCCAACTCTCTGATTACTTCCATTTTCTTGTATCTCTTGTAAGATAAAAGGTGATATAGGCCACACCCCAGGGAAACTCCCTTTACATTGGATCAGGGATGTGACCTGAGTAAGGGTGTTACATCCCACCCTAATCCTTTTTAAAATAATTTAATCTTGTCTCATTAACCACAGGCAGAAATTAGGATTTACAACATGTAGGAAAATTACATCAGTCACAAAATGGAGGACAACCACACAGTACTGGGAATCATGGCCTAACCAAATTGCTACACATACTTTTGGGGTACACAATTCAATCCATGACCCTAAGTAAGTGAAAATAACTTACTATATCCTGTTTTAAATTCGGTAGTTTTGTTTTCTTTCAAAATCAGGAAAATTTTATATTGGAATATTGCATTCTACATATAATAGTTTAAAAAGATTGTCAAGTAGTTCTACGGAAAATAAATAAAATGAACAAATTCTAGAAAAATGATACCACATCTAAAATGTTTACAATCCTAAATTTCCTAGCGCTTGGCTTTGTCTTTTTCCTTTGTCTTTTTGTTCTTCAACTGAAGGCAGTCTTGGAGTTTTTCATTCTTAAGTATTTTGTGAACCCCAACTAGTAACTTCTGGTAACCCTATAAGGCAGAAAAGAACTGCCCCATAGGGTTTCCAAGGCTGTAAATCTTTACAGAAGCAGACTGCAGCATCTTTCTCCCATGGAGCGGCTGGTGGGTTTGAACCGCCAGCCTTTCAGTTAGCAGCCAAACTTTTAACTACTGTGCCACTAGGGCTCCTTGGTGATTTTATCAAAATATTTTAAGTCAGGTTGCTTGAAATTGATTGCTTTTCTAAAAAATTGATATTTTTAGTTAAATTCTTTTAAGGTGGTATTCAAAATCTTAACTGATGATCTTTAAATAAACAGAAGGATTTTAATATGTGCTTTCTTCATTAGATTTCTAAAAGGCAGTTTAGGAAAATTTAAATCTGTAAAATATTTAACTTCTATCAAAGTATTTAGCTGATATATAATGTTGCTAATAAATTTTAAATGACTTTATTTTAGGTCCTGAAGAACGGCAATTCAAGGGCTTGGGTGACTGTATAATGAAAATAGCAAAATCAGATGGAATTGTTGGCTTATACCAAGGGTTTGGTGTTTCAGTTCAGGGCATCATTGTGTACCGAGCCTCTTATTTTGGTGCTTATGATACAGTTAAGGTAATTTGGGGGGTTTAACTTGGATATAGTAAATAAGTGATTAACATATTTTTATTGTTCTAATTGTTAATATGTTCAGCAGATATGTTTACTTTTAAAATTATAGAAATCAAAATAAATGATAAAATAAGGAGAAACGTGGAATTCTGTTTAATCATTACTTTGGTATCACCTAATTAAAATTTATAATTTATATTTTGGATCTGACTTTAGACATAAAGATTATCCAAACATTAGTCTTTTGTGGTGTTTGCATTGAAAGATTCACCGTAAATCCCTTTGCAAGTAGAAGACATGATGATTAGGCTTACATGAGAATCACATCTTTGACATATAGCAAGCCATCTTCTAACAGTTTTTCTGTTTTTCTATTAATTTGTTATCACTTTTTTACATGTAAATAATTAATAATCAATTTACTATATCATTCTGGGAAATAGGCATAGTATGATTAATTAAATAAATGCTACTATCGCTCAGTTATCTATGGGTACTACTGGATGATCTATTGTATTCTCCAGGTGGGTCTCCTTGTCATTTTCGTATCTTGGTAACACTTCCATAAAGTAGGAGAGGGAAAGGTTGTAATAATGGCTACCATTTTTGAGCTATTACTTTGTTCTAGGAACCTTGTTAAGTACTTTACATCCTCACAGTGTTCTGGGATAGCTTTTAATATCTTCATTTTAAAGATAAATAATCTAAGAACGGTTTTGTAATTTGCTTTTAAAGTGCCAGGCAAAGCCCTTGCTCTTGATCACTACAACACAATGCTTCCAAAAAGAACCAATGAAATTAATATCAGTATTATTTATTAAATAAAATTAAAACTTAAAGGAAATTTCATAATAGGCTTATATACTACAGTGAAACCCGTGAGAGCTGGAACTCAGTGGGACTGCCTTGTTTTTCTGGGTCTCGCAAGTTTTCCACCTTTGACAGGGTGCAGTCATACTACTTTTCTGTTGCTCATTTTAGTGGAAAATGTGGAGTTTTCCTTCTCTGACAGTTTTCCGCTTTACACGGGTTCTGGCTTTCGCAGTTTTTACTGTATCTCTGTGCTCCATCATTAGTATAAGTGTAGCTGAATGTCATTTTATTGTGATTTGGACGGATTACTTTCAGTTTTTAGTGTATTTTTAAGAGAGATGTTAATATAAATTATAGAATCTCATGTAATTTAATCAGAAAATTTGTGTACTCTCCTCTGCTTTTCTCTGTTAGATCACCTTCAATAGTAATGGAATTTAAGAACATAGATTCTTCACTAGCTTAGGACTTCAAACTGATAGCGTTGAGTGTCACCTGTTGATGCTGTTAGCAGGCATTTTTTCATGTTTTTCAACTCTATGAGGAAGAGCTATGGAAGAACTTTTTTGGACACTAGTTTTAGGTGCCATTATTAATACATCCCTTGTAAAATAGAAAATAGGCTTTTGAAGTGTAGTTATGTATGGAATTCTCCATTCTTACTGATCACCTTTATTGTTGGAATCTTTCTACAGTGAGCCCAGCTGGTATTATTGCTTTTTAAAAACTAATCAAGCCCTCTTTCATATAATAATTATCCTCAGACTTAAGAATTTAAGTTACTTTGGAAATTACTTGGTTACTTGATAACATTTTTATTTCCTAGGGATTATTACCAAAACCAAAGGAAATCCCGTTTCTTGTCTCCTTTTTCATTGCTCAAGTTGTGACTACGTGCTCTGGAATACTCTCTTACCCCTTTGACACAGTTAGAAGACGCATGATGATGCAGGTATTTTATATTATTTGTAAGCTTAATTGAACTTACTAATATAATATCTCTGATAGCCAGGTATCATATATTCAGATTTTAGAGAGATTTTGGCTGAAAGTGATACATCATTTCTTTTACCTAGCTAAAATAAATGCATGATGTGTTCAGACTCATATTCTTTCCTAAAACAGCCATCAGACAGCAAAGCTGCTTTTTCATCTACCATCCAAACACAAAGAACTGCCTTCCACTCCTGTAGATACATTATTTGGAGGATGAACGGGAATAGCAGGGATTGGATGAGTATGTCTGTTTTGGATGAAATGTTAGATTAAGTAGAATAAACCTAGTCACAAGTCATTGATATATGTGATAATTTGTTATAGTATATTTTAATAAAATAAATATTTTGAACTCCAGGGATGAAAGCTTGTTTATAATGATCTAAGTTCTAAATATAAACTCCCAAATCAAAGCTTTGATATATGCAATCTCCACTGCTATTACTTGCTACATTTATTCTCACAGCAAATATTTGAGTGCCTAATCTATGCTAAGCTGGTGGCGCAAACAGTGTGCTCTCAGCTAATAGCCTAAAGGTTGGTGGTTCAGACCCACCCAGCGGTGCCATGGAAGAAAAGCCCAGTGATCTGCTTCCATAAAGATTATAACCAAGAGAACCCTACGGAGCAGTTCTACTCTGTAACACGTAAGATCACCGTGAGTCAGAATTAACTCGATGGCAGTGGGTTTGGTTTGGTTTTTATGGTGACACTAGAGTCCCTGCGAGGTAGAAACAGCTAACATGCTTGGCTGCTAACTGAAAGGTTGGAGGTTTGGGTCCACCCAGAGGTGCCTCACAAGAAAGGCCTGGCCATCTACTGCTGAAAAATCAGCCATTGGAAACCCTGTAGAGCACAGTTCTAATCTGACACGTGTGAGGTCACTATGAGTCAGAATGTACTCGACAGCAACTGGTTTTATGGTGACATACGACAAACTCGTAGTCTAATATTGAAGACATACAGTTAATGGTTTAAATAGAAATATGCATAGGTGCCAGGAATGCATAGAGGAGAGGTGACCAGATGCCTCCATTGATTAGATGTGGTCTCTTGGAGAGCTAAATCTTAGTGAAGAAGCTTTCTTCAGACAGCGGGAAGGCATTCTAAGCAGAGGGAAAAATACATATGCAAAATAAAGGATATTATCCGTGACTACGGTGCTCCATTAAAAAACCATTTGTATGAGACCAAAAGGTCAACAATTGCTCTAATGCAAAGATGAAGATAAGGAGGCAGGGAAACTAGACTACTGGAAACAGAACAACCAGAATGCAATTAAAGAAAATATTGACATATTGTGAAAAATGTAACTAATGTCACCCGAACAATTTGTGTAGAAATTGTCAAATGGGAACCTAATTTTCTATATAAACTTTCACCAAAAACACAATAAAATAGTATTTTAAAAAAACATATGCAAAGAGGTATGGCTTGAAAAGTAGTTCATTATAACTGGATCATGAAAAAACCAAAACCAAACCAGTTGCCAACGAGTTAATTCTAACTTTGGCAACCTCACGTGTGCCAAGTAGAACTACGTTCCATAGGCTTTTCAAGGCTAAGACCTTTCAGAAGCAGATCACCAGGCCTTTCTTCCAGGATACCTCTGGGTGGGTTTGAACTGCCAATCTTTCAGTTAGTGGTCCAATGCCAAAACATTTGCACCACCCGAGGATTCCTGGTTTCATGAGGGCAAGTGAAAGTGAAGCCAGAAAGCTAGAATAGTAATACAGTGCCAAATACCGTCCTAAGTATTTTACACTTTAACTTATTTAATTCTCAAAATAACATTATGTGGTACAAGTGCTATCATTTTATATGTATATGAAATGGCCCTGGAAGAACCCAGTAGGGCCATCTGGAACGGTAAAGCATATCTAACCTATTATTTCATACATGGGCTATCCTGAGAGTTATTCCTTTTTCATCTCTGTTTTTTCTAGATCTAGGTGTAGCTCAATTTTAATACACTGAGAAACTTTTAAAAATGATAAATTAATTTGCATGTGGACGGTAGATCATGGTATTCTATCAGTGTTAAATTTCCTGATTTTGATAACCGTACTGTATGGACATGTAAGAGAATATCCTTGTTTTTAGAAAATATATACTGAAATGTTGAAGGATAAAGGGATGATGTGTGGTTCAGAAAAAAACGGTGGATATGTGTGGTTTTATCTACGTGTATGTGTTTAATAGAAAGAGGGAAGGAGAGAGGAGGAAAGGAAGAAAGAAAGATAAAGCAGATGGGACAAAACGTTAACAACTGAATACAAATATCAGGGTTTATTTCTTCCTAACCAATTCTTACACCTTGTATTTCGTTTTCTTGCCTTTCTACATTGGCTGAGACCTTTGATTAAGTTTTATATTACAGAAGTAATAGTTGACATCCTTGTGTTGTTCCTTACTTTACAAGAAATTCCCTCAGTGTTAAATAATTTAATGTTAGCTGTGTTTTTTCTAGTTACTGTTTATCATGTTATGGCAGTTCCTTTCTGTTCCTGGGTTACAGCAGTTTTTAATCATGAATGGCTGTCATGTTTTTTCTGTATCTATTGAGATGATCCTTTTTTTTTATTCTTTTAATATGTTAGTGTATTAGATTAATCTGTTTTCTAGTGGTAAACCAACCGTGTATCCCTAGGATAAACCCAGCTTGGTCATCATGTATCCCTTGTTGGATTAGACTTGCTGATTTTTGTTAGGATTTTTGCATCTGTGTTTCAGTGACATTGGCTTATAATTTTTCATTCTATATTGTCCTAGTCTAATTGTGTTACAAAGGCTGTTCAAGCCTCATAAAATGTTTTGGGGAGTCTTCCCATTTGTTCTCTTCTCTAGAATAATTTTTGTAAAATTGGAATTAAATGGTCATTGCATGTTTATTAGAACTCACATGTAAAGCCATTTGGACATGTGTTTTTCTTTATAAAAAGATTTTCAGCAACTGATTTAATTTCTATAATGATTATAGCATTATTCCAATGTTTTGTTTCTGTTCTGTTGGTAAATTTTATTTTTCTAGTAATTTATTCGTTTCTTCTGAGTTTCCAAAATAAATGTCATGAAGTTTTTCATAGTATCCTGTTGACCTTTCTTTAAACTCTGGATCTTCTATAGCTATGTTGTTGTATGCTGTCGAGTCAATTCCAACTCATAGGAGCCCTATATGACAGAGCAGAACTGCCCCATAGGGTTTCCTAGGTGTAACCTTTAAGGGAGCAGATCACCAGGTCTTTTCTCCCTCTGAGTGGCTGGTGGGTTCAAACTGCCAACCTTTTGGTTAGCAGGTGAGCGCTTAACTGTTTGACCACCAGGGCCCCTTGTAGTTCTGTTACGTTTACCATTTCTAAAGATTTGGAGGCCTTTTTCTTTCCCTAGAATAATGTTTCTAGAAATTTGCTTCTAGAAATTTTAAAGTATTTCAAAGAACTAACTTCAGACTTTTTTATGCTCTGTGTTGTATTTATATTCTATTTCCTTTATTCCTGCTTGTTTCCTTATTTCTACTTTCTTTAGGTTTATTCATTTTCTAAAAATGTTTAGGTTGCTCAGTAATTTTCAGCCCTTCTCTAATTTTTCAAGCTCATCATTTCTTTATAAGTACCACTGAAGCTATATCTCACACATTTTGTTAAGGAGTTTTCGGTTATCATTTGGCTTTAAATATGGTCTAAGGAGGGTTTTTCTTAATATCCAAACATGTAAGAGTTTTCTAGTTACTTTTTTTTAATTGTGGTGAAATATATATAACAAAAGTTTTCCATTTTAACCATTTTCAAGTGCACAATTCAGTGATACTATTACATTCACCACATTGTTCTACCATCATCACTGTCCATTTCCGAAAGTTTTATATCACCTCAAACAAAAGCTCAGTACCGATTCAGCAGTAAGTTCCATTCCCTCCTTCTCCAGCCCATGGTAACCACTAATAAACTTTGTTTCTATGCATTTGCCTATTCTAGATATTTCATATAAGTTGGATCATACAATATTGTTCTTTTATATCTGACTTATTTCACTCAGCATGATGTTTTCAGGGTTCATCCATGTTGTGGCACATACCAGAATTTCATTTTTCTTTATTGCAGAGTAATACCCAGTTGTATGCATATACCACATTTTGTTTACCCATTCATCTGTTGATAGACACATGGATTGTTTCCACCTTTTCACCATTGTGAATAACGTTGCAGTAAACATTGGTGTACACATACTCATTTGAGTCCTTACTTTCAAGTCTCTTGGGTATATTCCTACAAGTGGGTCATATGGTAATTCTGTGCTTAACTTTTTGAGGAACTGCGGAACTCTTTTCGGCAGGGGCTGCACTATTTTATATTCCTACCATCAATGCAGGTTCTTCACATCCTCAGCAACACTTGTTCATTTATGTTTTTCTGATCATAGCCATCCTAGTGGGTGTGAGGTGATATGTCATTATGGTTTTGATTTGCATTTCCCTAATGACTAGGAGCCCTGGTGGCTCAGTTCTTAAGTGCTTGACTGCCATCCAAAAGGTTGGCAGTTCAACCCACCAGCCATCCCACAGGAGAAAGATGTGGCAGTCTACTTCCATAAAGATTTACAGCCTTGAAACCGTATGGGGCAGTTCTGCTCTGTCCTGTAGGATCGCTATGAGTTGGCATCAACTTGACGGCAATGGGTTTGTTTTTTGTTTTTTTAATTTCTAGAAACATTGAACATCTTTTTATGTGCTTATTGTCCGTTTGTATATCTTCTTTGGAGAAATGTTTATCAAGTCCTTTGCCTATTTTTTAATTGGATTGTGTTCTTTTTGTTGTTGAATTGTAGGAGTTCTTTATATATTCTGGATATTAAACTCTTATCAGATATATGGTTTCCGAATATTTTCTCGCATTCTGTAGGTTGTCTCTTCACTTTGTTGATAAAGTCCTTTGATGCACAAATCTTTTAATTTTTTATGAAGTCCAGTTTATCTATTTTTTGTTGCTCTTGCTTTTTGGTGTCATATCTAAGAATCCATTGTCAAAAACAAGGTCTTAAAGTTTTACCCATGTGTTTTCTTCTAAGAGTTTTATTGTTTTAGTTCTTATATTTAGGTCATTGACCTATTGGAGTTAATTTTCTTATGTGGTGTGAGCTATTATTGATCTAACTTCATTCTTTGGCATGTGGAGATCCAGTTGTCCCAGCACCATTTATTAAAGAGACTATTCTTTCTCCATTGAATGGACTTAGTGCCCTTGTTAGAAATCAGTTGGCCATAGATACATGGGTTTATTTCTGAACTCTCAATTCTATTCCATTGGTCTGTATGTTTATTGCTATACCAGCACCATACTGTTTTGATTACTATAGGTTTACAGTATGTTTTGACATCAGGAAGTGTGAGTCTTCCTCCTTTGTTCTTCTTCAGTATTGTTTTGGCTATTTGGGACCCCTTGCAATTCCATATGAATTTGAGGATTCACTGTTCCATTTCTTAAAAAAAAAAAAAAAAGATGGAATTTTTATAAGGAGTGCATTGAATCTGTGGATTAATTTGGGTAATATTGATATCTTAACAACATTAAGTTTTCCATTTCATGAACATGGGCTGTCTTTCCATTTATTTAGGTCTTCTTTCTTTCAGCAATGTTTAAAGTTTTCAATGTACAAGTCTTTAACTTCCCTGGTTAAATTTATTCCTATGCATTTTATTCTTTTAGATGCTATCATAAGTGGGATTGTTGTCTTGACTTCCTTTTCAGATTGTTCCTTGCTGGAACATAAAGACACAACTGATTTTTGTGTGTCAGTTTTGCTAAGTTCATTTATTAGCTCTAGCAGCTCTTGTATGGATTCTTTAAAATTTTCTATATGTAGTATCATATCATCTTCAAATAGAGGTAGTTTTACTTCTTCCTTTCTGATACAGATAACGTGTCATTGCCTTTTTCTTGCTGATTGCTCTGGCTAGAACTTCAGTACAATGTTGAAAAGCAGCAATGAAAGCAGGCATCCTTGTCTTTCACCATTGAGTATGATGCTAGCTCTGGGTTTTTCATAAATGTTCTTTATCATGTTGTGGAATTTCCCTTCTAGTTCTAGTTTGCTGAGTGCTTTTATCATGAAAGTGTATTAGATTTTGTCAGATGCCTTTTCTGTGTTGATTGAGATGATCATGCATTATGGTCAGAGATTAAATTAGAGTCTATGTAATGTCATCCTTTAAAATTTGTTAACCCTAGTATGTGGTTGGCTTTCAAATGTGCCTGAAAAGTATGTATATTCTGTCATCATTGGGTACAATAGTCAATATATGCCCATTAACTCAACATACTTACTCAATGCAGTGTTAATCTTACCTGTCCTTAGTTCTTAATGAAAACTATCTTAAGATAAAAGATACTAATGTAACAGCAAACTGTTTATTTTTCTTTTTATAGAGTGGTGAGTCTCAACGCCAATATAAAGGAACCTTGGATTGCTTTATGAAGATATACAGACATGAGGGAATCAATGCATTTTTTCGTGGTGCCTTCTCCAATATCCTTCGTGGTACTGGAGGTGCTTTGGTGCTGGTGTTATATGATAAAATTAAAGACTTCATTAATATTGATATTAGAGGTAGTTCATAAAGAGATTAAATTAAGATACATATATTTAACCTCTTAAATATACAAATTACATGGCTGCCATTTATATACATTTTGGTGATGTGTTATTACTGTCAGTATTTTCTTAAAGTGCTAATTCTGCAATATAACATAGGCTTTTTTCAAGGATTTGAATACTTGATATGAGATAAATGTGGGCTTCCTTCCACTTAGACTCAAACTCACTTTAATGAGACATTTTACTTGTCATAAGCAGTATATGTTATTTCTGTTCATTTAAAATCCTTTTCTTACTTTCGTGATGAAAAATTAAAATGTATGATGCTGAAATCTAAGAAATTAAAATATCTTCTTTTAAGTTGCTATTCTCTTAATGTACTTTTCCTCCCATCTTTTCAAATCATATGATATGATCAAGATTTCTTAAAAACTTATCAGGAGATGTCATCATTTAGATCTATGGGCATAAATAAGCTTTCTTCTACAACATCTCTACCAAGACAGCACAGGGATTGCCATGTATAGTGTTTATAGTGTCATACAGCTTTTTATACGTACAAATGCTAGATTGGGACATAAAAAATTTTGATAAATAACTTTAATGACCCTTGTTATAAACCTGTAGTTGAAAAATAAAAGATATAAAATGGCTTATCTGCTAACCTTTGTCTTTAAAATAAATAAAATCTAATGTGACTGTATGTTGGAACAAAATAATTCCCTCTTGAAAATTAGTTTCTGTATTCTATATTGATAATAAGGGAAGTTTAAACTATTATAAATGAGGTTTTTTTAATTAACCCTACGGTCAGTATAAGCAAAGAAGTACGATATTTTTTTCACAATTGGGAACTGGCTTAACAGGGAACAGTAGATATTTCTCAGTGGAGAAGTATGAGCAAGGTTTAGTTCAGGGGTCTGTCTGGTTTTTCAGAAATGTTTTAGAAGATAGTACATTTGAAATTCCCAAAATGTTAAAGTTTTAGTGGATAAAGAAATGTTAAGCTAGTGGGAATAAACTATAGAAAGATTTTGTGAGGCTAGAAGTGGGCAAAAATGGGGCAGGTGAACTTTCTGGTGCACAGGGGCAAAATACATTTCAAGGAAGATAACAGACTATTTAATATTAAAATGTACCACATGAAATGTCAGATTTGAAGTGAATCATTTTTGAATCCTAATTAGACATGTTAGGGTAAGTGGCTGTTAGGTTACACCATTTCATAGTACTAGGCTAGCTTTCGTAATCATTTGACTTCATTTTATAGGTGGTTCTTGTCTTATAAAGGTTGATCTTTTTGCCCGTCAATAATAAAGTGACTTTTGAGCAATCATCACTACTGTTTTTATGAGTTCAGATTAGGACATAATGCATCTGAGGCTGAGAAAAACATCAGTTTGGCATTAGGAGAGGGTGTTGCTAACCAGCAAATGATACAGTGATGGTTTCAGAAATTTTGCTTTGGAGACGAGAGCCTTCAGAAAGAGCCTTGACGAAAACCAAAATCTGTCATAAACGAAGACCAATTGAAAGAATTGGTGGAAAGCAACCCTCCAACAACAGTTCAGAATCTTGCAGCAGACTTAGGTGTATCTCCCATGACTGTTTCCCACCACTTGAGTGCCATCAGAAAAGCGACAAAATTGGACAAATGAGTTCCACACAAATTGACGGAAAATCAGAAATCACAACGTCTAGAGGTGTGCTCTGCGCTGCTAGCCCACAACAAAAATGAGCTTTTTTTGCAATGTATCATTACGTGTGATGAGAAATGGATACTGTTAGACAATAATAAACTATCTAGGCAATGGTTAGATGCAGAGCAGTCTCCAAGACATTACCCAAAACAACTACTACACCCAAAAAAGGTTATGGTGACTGTGTGATGGTTTGCAAAAGGCATAATCCCTTGTTCTTTTTTTACAACAAGGGCAATCAATCCTTGCAAACTTATACTGTGAGGAAATTAATCATAGTCATGAAAAATCGAGATCAAAACAACCAAGACTGGTCAGTAGAGGTGGACCAATTCTGCTGCATGACAACGCGCAACCATACACTTCTCAAACCACTCCTTGAAAATTTAGAGCTAGGTTATAAGACCTTGCCACACCCACCTTACTCACCTGACATCTCCCCAACGGATTACAACCTTTTCAACACTTCAAACTCTTTATACGTATTAAAAGATTCACAGATCAAGAAGCTATAGTTGAAGCTTTGAGGAGTTTACAGTCTCAAAAGATGACATTTTTTAAAAGAGGAATACATACCATCACATTAGCACAAGATAATTAAACATAATGGAGCATATTTTGATTAAATAAATTTGTTTCATCTCCGTTTATAAGGTTTTTACTTTTCCCTCAAAAAACTGGTATTTCATGTGTATACCCTAATACATTGGTGTTAAAAGTCAAGGGAAAAATTAACTCTTGAAAGCTGTCAACATGATTTCTTGCATTGGTCAACATGCAGAAACTTATAGAACCAAAATAGAAAACATTATCTTTTCCATCTACACTATGAGTAGTTCTCTTTGCCACAATAAAAGATTTAAGATGGTCAAAATAAAGGCAATTAAAATGAACAAATAAGAGGAATAATTTCCCATATGAAGGTTAAGAAAATAAGAAAGTTTTTGTTTTATACAGAGACATGCTTAGAGGAAAGAAGTCATTAAAATCTTGAATGGCAAACAGGACAGAAGGCAAATGGGAATGTAATCACTCAATTGCCAGACCAAAAGCCTATTCTTTGAAGCCTAGAAAATGTTTAATTAGGACAAAGAAAATGTTACTTATTACCCTAAACTGAGCTAAAAATGTATATACCTTGAACTGTTGTTAATGAAAGATGACTGACTTCCAATAAACAAAATAATCAGATTTCACAAAGAAATAATTTTTTAATGTTAAGACAAATGTTGGAAGAATGCATAGCTGAATCCCGATCCAAATTCCAATGGCATTTTTTAAGGAAATGGAGAAACATATCACCAACTTTGTATGGAAAGGGAAGAGGCCATGAATAAGTAAAGCATTACTGAAGAAGAAGAACAAAGTGGGAGGTCTCACAATACCTGATTTTAGAACCTATTATACTGCCATGGTAGTCAAAACAGCCTGGTACTGGTACAACAACAGATACATACACCAATGGAACAGAATTGAGAATCCAGACGTAAATTCATCCACCTGCGAGCAGCTATTTGACAAAGGCCCAAAGGCCGTTAAATGGGGAAAAGACAGTCTCTTTAACAAATGGTGCTGGCATAACTGGATATCCATCTGCAAAAAAATGAAACAAGACCCATACCTCACACCATGCACAAAAACTAACTCAAAATGGATCAAAGACCTAAATACAAAATCTAAAAAGATAAAGATCATGGAAGAAAAAATAGGGATAATGCTAGGAGCCCTAATACATGACATAAACAGAATACAAAACATTACAAACAATGCACAAACACCAGAAGGGAACTAGATAACTGGGAGCTCCTAAAAATCAAACACTTATGCTCATCAAAAGACTCCACCAAAAGAGTAAAAAGACAGCCTACAGCCTGGGAAAAAATTTTTGGCTATGACAAATCCAATCAAGGTCTAATCTCTAAAATCTATAAGATACTTCAAAATGTCAACAACAAAAAGACAAGTAACCCAATTAAAAAATGGGCAAAGGAGACGAACAGGCACTTCACCAAAGAAGACATTCAGGTGGCTACCAGATACATGAGGAAATGCTCACAATCATTAGCCATTAGAGAAACGTTTAATTCAAAACTACAATGAGAAACCATCTCACCACAATAAGGCTAGCATTAATCCAAAAGATACAAAATAATAAATGTTGGAGAGGTTGTGGAGAAACTGGAACAATTGTACACTGCTGGTGGAAATGTAAAATGGTACAACCACTTTGGAAATCGATTTTGCACTTCTTTAAAAAGCCAAAAATAGAAGTACCATATGATCCAGCAATCCCACTCCTTGGAATATATCCTAGAGAAATAAGAGCTATCACACTAATAGATATACGTATACCCATGTTCATTGCAGCACCGTTCACAATAGCAAAAAGATGGAAACAACCTAGGTGCCCATCAAAGGATGAATGGATAAACAAATTATGGTATATTCACACAATGGAATACTACGCAACGATGAAAAATGATGAATCCGTGAAACATCTCGTAACATGGATGTATCTGGAAGGCATTATGCTGAGTGAAACTAGTCAATCACAAAAAGACGATTATCATATAATACCACTATTATAAGAACTCAAGAAAAGGTTTAAACACGGAAACATTCTGATGGTTACGACGGTGGGGAGGGAGGGGGATTCACTAAGTAGATGGTAGACAAGAATTATCTTAGGTGAAGGGAGGACAACACACACTACAAGGGAAGTCAGCACAACTGGAATAAACCAAAAACTAAGAAGTCTCCTGAATACAACCAAACACTTTCAGGGATAGAGTAGCAGGGGTGGGGGGTCTGGGGACCATGGTTTCAGGGGACCTCTAGGTCAATTGGCATAACAAAGTTTATTAAAAAAATGTTCTGCATCCCACTTTGGTGAGTGGCGTCTGGGGTCTTAAAAGCTAGCGAGCAGCCATCTAAGATGCGTCAATTGGTCCCAACCCACTTGGAGCAACGGAGAATGAAGAACACCAAAGACACAAGGAAGATATTAGTCCAAGAGACAAAAGGGTCACATAAATCAGAGACTCTGTCAGCCTGAGACCAGAAGAACTAGAAGGTGCCCAGCTATCACCAATGACCTCCCTGACAGGGAACACAACAGAGAGCCCCTGACGGAGCAGGAGAAAAGTGGGGTGCAGAACTCATATGGTCATGGTCTGACTAAGACTGGAGGGATCCCAGAAGACATGGCCCCCAGACTCTCTGTTAGCCCAAAACTAAAACCATTCCTGAAGCCAACTTTTCAGACAAAGATTAGACTGGAGTATAAGACATAAACTGATACTGGTGAAGAGAGTGCTTCTTAG